TTAGGACCTGGGTGCATTCCTGAAAATGGTCTATTCATTTAAACCACAACAATTTAATAATACGTCATAAAAAAAACTCATCCCTGGCCCCATCCTGAATTTCAGCTATATTCTAGCCTGCTGTTATATTATTTCACTATACCCATTCTGCCAATGTCAAGTAAGCATTTAGCCCCAGTGAAATACCAAAGCCATACCTGCAAATGGAGAAGTCTTTCAATGGTTCTTGTAACTTTTATCCATGACCGTAAAACCCCACAAATAGTAATCACAAATCCAGTTCAGGTCTCTGTGAGGATAAAATTGTTTAAAACAAAACTCAAACTGTCATTAAATTGCAATGTTGAAATACTCCAGAAACGAGTGAAATGGAATGCTCTCCTATGAGAGTTTGGGTTTTATCTGCTTTGTGGGCAGGAATGAATTTGGACAGAAGGTTTGAGGGATAGATATGGAAGATTGAAGAGAATTGTAGTAATGTTCATAATTTGTTTTCAGCCAAACCCCTGCATGCATTCAAGTCACAGCTGGTTTTATATCCAGATTATGTGTGTCTCCGTCCACGGGTATGGTAGCAAAGCCCAGACCAAAATATTGGGAGCATCTGTGAAGAAAAATCAGAGTTAATGTTTTGGGTCTGGTGACCCTTCCTCAGAACTTCTGAGGAAGGGTCATTGAACCTGAAATGTTAATTCTGATTTCCCGTCACAGATGTTGCCAGACCTGCTGAGCTTTTCCAGCAACTTTTGTTTTTGTTTCTGATTTACAGCATCTGCAGTTGTCTTGGTTTTTATCCAAAATATTGGGAGACCGGAGTGGCAACAGTCAGAAGTCAATTGAACAATTCTAGGTACATTTTACAAAGTCATGATTAAGATACAATGAGCTAGTTCTTCTTGGATCAATTATGTTCTTTAGTGGAATTTGAATGCTTTGCAGTGATGCTCAACTTGCAAGATACATCAATGTATCCAAGCAGCATTGTAGAAGAACACCTGCACTTTTCTTTAAGGAAATACATGCTAACGATATTCCTCTACATGTTTTACTTTTATGTGGGCATGAGTAAATTGAAGCCTTGAATCTGTTGGAAAAATACATTGCTAAACTAAGATTGGGTTTCCTATTAATGCTTAAACCTAAATTGCTTTAATAAGCAATTTCATATCTGATTTTTGTTTTCCTGTTGGTACTATTACATTATATTCTTTCTTGTGAAGATGCCGTTGTTGGACTGGGGTGGACAAAGTCAGAAGTCACATGACACCAGGTTATAGCCCAACAGGTTTATTTGAAAACACAAGCTTCCAGAGCGCTGCTCCTTCATCAGGTGAAGCACAAAGCAGTAGCACACCGAAAGCTTGTGATTTCAAATAAACTTGTTGGACTATAACCTGGCGTCGTGTGACTACTGATTTTGATTCTTTCTTGTAGAAGTGTTATTTATCGTGGTAAAGAAATTAGCAATTTTGTAATATCTATGATCATCTGTGTAATTTTTATTGGTTGATGATTCATTTGCTGAACATAATGATAATTTCCTAGTTGCCAAGCACTCCAGGCCAGTGTAACATTTCAATCAGTTGGCAAACCTAACTCCATCGTGAGCACAGCTTCTCAGACCGGCCTATTGTCCCCTACTTCAGGACTGTTTCATTCAGCATAGCCCACCATTCATCAAGTATTCAGACGACTGTATTATGAGGTATTTGTGTAATCTGAGATCAGCACTTCATGTGTAAAGATATACCCAGATGCAGAGACACAGTCTGTTGCAGCAATTCCTTGAAGTGTAGACAACTAATACACAGCTTTGTGAATTGTATTAAAATTTGTCTGGAGTGGCTGTCAGAAATTTCCCTTGACAGAAAAGAGGCTGCAGTTTATAGCAAATTATCAGTAACTAAGAATAGGAGCCAGTTGCATCCCATTATAGGTCTGACCGCTTGCTATCATTGATAGGAATGCTTCTCTAGCAACCTCAAAGCATGGTACCGTGTATTTGAGTTAAATCCCGCCTCAGAACATATTACAGTACTAGGGTAATTAGTAGATTGCATAAATAGGTGCAGCAATTTTCTGTGGGACAAGGGTTTATTTGTACATTGGCTTCATGTGCTGGTTCAGCCAAATGCCTTCCTACCTCGCAAATTGTATAGCCAGGACCTTCTACATTCAGGGCAGCCAAGGACAACCACCCTGAGCCCCCTCAGGGCAGGGGTGAAGTACGGTGATTGCCATATTTGATGACATATGGTCTTGAAAGGGCAGTGATTAATTTCTATTTGGTTTGAGATTGGAATGTGCTGGTAAGCTTTTCCATTCCTTAAAAGAAGATAGAAGACTGTCCGGGTTTAACCTAATTACACGCCTAATTACATCAGTGTCTTATTTTCACATTTTTATGAGGGGTTTAGTTACATCTGAGAAACAATCATGACCTGGGTACAAATTCCATTTGCCAATTTCATTCTTCTCAGCCTCATTTAAAGAGCCTTTATATACTAGGCAATTCATTGAGGGAGATAATGGGGAAAATAAAGGGTTATTAACATTAACTACAATATCCATATTGTTTCTGTTATCAAAACTCTTAAATCTTTTTTATCTGTAGACAGTTTTTTTGAAATCTTAGTCAAACACTGAAGCATAGACTAAAGGTAGAGCTTTTTGAGTAATAAAGCTGTTCTAATTTATTTTCAAAGTTGCGGTCACAATTGGCCTCAACGATTGCTTATGTTACAATCACTGCAATTAAAAACATAAAATGATCAAATATGAATTGAAATGTGTCACTTATTCATACTCCTCTTACTTATGCTTTCTTTCCTTTTCTCATCTGAAAGCAAACCAGTTATATACAGCTCATACTGCTAAAGCCGAACCTTTTGCCATTTGAAATATTGTTGATTATTTTTAATTGACAGTGAAACAATCTTTTATCCATTTTCTGTTTGGAGGGAAATGTTTTTTTTCCTCTCCCTCTGTGCCAAAATCAGTGCCCAAACCTGTGTAAAACCTGAAGTTAATTTCTGCACAAACTGTCCACTGGAGCAAGATTTTCCAAAGGCCTACAGCTGACCCAGATTCGAGTGTATTGACTGAAAGAGTAATACGAGAGATTTGCTTACTTTATTCTCTTAACAAGTGGCCTGGAACTGTAAGCTTTATACGTCTCCATTTGAGATGCATAAGACCATAAGATGTCGGAGTAGAAGTGGGCCATTTCCCAGCTGATGTTTCTTTTGCTGGAAAACAAGTCCAGATTTCAGAAAGGGTTGACAGAATGAAAACGTGATAAGATTTTTTTTCACTAGCTGCCGAATTGGCAGTAAGGAGACAAACATGTAATTAGTATGAAAGCATAAGCATTAGAAGACATTGTTTCACACTGTGCAGGCATTGGAGTATGAAATACATCAGGCAAATGGTAATCAAAGTTGATCACAGCTTTGAGAGGGGAACCAAAAGGAGGGGTTATTTGGACCAGGATATGCACACTTAACTCAATGGGTATATATTTACATCTATATTCTGTTCTTGCTCTTAAATTTACAATTATAACAAAAACTGCCTCTGTAATTACTCTCTTGGGCTATCTAGCATGTATTTAGTGTAATATTTATATGGAACATTTCCATTTAGTTGTAACCACAGTAATTTCTAATGGAAAAGATTGATAGGAAATGTGTGTAGATTTACGATATATTGCTGATATAGAGTGACAGTGAAGGATGGGATTTCCTTTGTAGAAGATTAGCAGATCCTCAGAAATTGCATAAATGGCTGTTCATGGCTATTTCCCTTGGCTGGAGAGAGGTGGGGGCCCTCTAAATCTCTGCAAAAGTTTATTCGTGAGGTTTGCAGCTCGTGAAGTGCATGATGCATTCAATTCAAAAATGTTGCATTGAATGTCATATCAGTGTTCCTGCCAGAATTTTTTTTATTCACTCATAGGATATAAGCATTGCTGCCTGGGCCAATGTTTTATTGCTCATCCCTGGTTGACCTTGGGACAATAGGCCTCCTTCAACCACTGAAATTCATTTTTAGATTAGAATCTAGTAGAAGAATTAGATTGGATTAGAATCCCTACAGTGTGGAAGCAAGCCATTTGGCCCATCGAGCCCATACCAACCCTCTGAAGAGCACCTCAACCCAGACACAGCCCCTGACCCCATTCCCTATAACCCTATACCTAATATGGTCAATCCACCTAGCCCACACATCTTTGGACTGTGCGAGGAAACCAAAGCACTCATGCAGACATGGGGAGAATGTCAAACTCCATACAAACAGTCAACCAAGGCTGGAATTGAACCTGGGTCCCTGGTGCTGTGAAGCAGCAGTGCTAACCATTGAGCCCACCGTGCCACCTGCCATTTGGTATAGGTAGTCTCACAATGCCACTGGGGAGTGAGTTCCAGGATTTTGACCGAGTGACACTGAAGGAACGGTCATACACTTCCAAGCCAAGATGGTGAGTGGCTTGGAGGGAATTTGTAGGTGCTCTTGTTCCCATGTAGCTGCTGCTCTAGTCCTTGTAGAAGGACATGCTGTTGGACTTAGAAGGTGCTATCTGAAGAGCCTTGGCAAATTTCTGCAGAACATCTTGTAGATGGCATATGCTGCTGCTACTGAGTGGTGGTAGTGGGAGTGAATGCTTGTGGATGTGGTGCCAATCAAGCGGGCTGCTTTGGTGGATGGTCTCCAGCTTCTTGAGTGTTGTTGGAGCTGCACCCATTCAGGGAAGTGGGGAGTGCTCCGTCACACTCCTGACTTGGCCAGCACCATATGCAACTCCTCAGGTACGGAGAATACATTCATAGCAAAAATAATTCTTGACCAAGTGTACAATTCGAATGCAGTAATTTCATGACTGTGATTCATATCTTTTGATATTGTGGAACTTCTATAAAGAGTATGATTTTGTGATGTTAATCTGAGCTATACTAGTAGAAGAGAATTGATTTTTAGCAACTCCTCCTTTTAACTTACAGGTTGTGACCTGAACCATGGGAGTCGTTGTACAAGATGATAAGCCAGCAGGAGTCAAGGCCCCAGATGGAGGCTGGGGCTGGGCCGTTCTCATTGGATGTTTTGTCATCACTGGATTCTCATATGCTTTTCCAAAAGCTGTTAGTGTTTTCTTCAAGGAGTTGATTAAAGAGTTCCACATTGGGTACAGTGACACGGCTTGGATCTCTTCCATTCTTCTTGCTATGTTATATGGAACAGGTAAGGCATTTGGTGTTCAGGAAACATTTTTCTGATGAAGGGTCTAGGCCCGAAACGTCGGCCTCTCTGCTCCTATGATGCTGCTTGGCCTGCTGTGTTCATCCAGCCCTGCACATGGTGTAGGTGATATTTTGTTAACAAAAGTGGTTTTCAAAATACAGCATTCAGTTCTGAAGTCTAGTTCTGAAGTTTGATTTCACAAAATTTACTGACTTTCATGAAAAATGTTTATAACCATTGTCAAACCCAAATAATTTATACAAGGCAGGTGGACAGAATCTTTTAAATTTTCTTCCCTTTACTCGAAGACACCAAGTCCCTTTATTGTGATTTAGTTCAACAGTAGCAGTCAACCTCTGACCTTGCTGCAATGGCCTCCAATCATATTGACTTTACACCGAGTGTTGATAGGAGGGGGATGCTCACCACTCCCTAGGTGAAGAATTTTTCCTAATCTCAGGCCTAAGTGGTCTACCCCCCGTATCCTTGAACTGTGACCCCTGGTTCTGAACTCCCTGGTCATCAGGAGCATCCTTCCCGTGTTCATCCTGCCTCGTCCTATTCCAACTTTATAAGTTCATACAAATACACACACACTGCACACGCAGTCGGCCCCATCCCATTCTTCTAAACACCATTGAATAAATCCTAACTGTACTGGTCTCTCTTCATATGTCAGTCCTGCTATCTCGGGAATCAGTTTGGTAAACCTTTATTGCACTCCTATAACCAGAACATCCTTTCCCAAATAAGGACACCAAACTGCAAATGAGTTCCAGTCAATAGTAACTCCCTATGGGGACTTAGCAGTGGTCATATGGTTGAATTTCAAGAAAAGATGGTCACCACATTATAGGAAGGATGTGGAAGCATTGGAAAGGGTGCAGAGGAGATTTACCAGGATGTTGCCTGGTATGGAGGAAAGGTCTTATGAGGAAAGGCTGAGGGTCTTGAGGCTGTTTTCGTTAGAGAGAAGAAGGTTAAGAGGTGACTTGATAGAGACATACAAGATGATCAGAGGATTAGATAGGGTGGACAGTGGGAGCCTTTTTCCTCGGATGGTGATGGCTAGCACGAGGGGACATAGCTTTAAATTGAGGGGTGATAGATATAGGACAGATGTCAGAGGTAGGTTCTTTACTCAGAGAGTAGTAAGGGCGTGGAATGCCCTGCCTGCAAAAATAGTAGACTCGCTCACTTTAAGGGCATTTAAATGGTCATTGGATAAACATATGGATGATAATGGAATAGTTTAGGTTAGATGGGCTTCAGATTGGTTTCACAGGTCGGCGCAACATCGAGGGCCGAAGGGCCTGTACTGCACTGTAATGTTCTATGTTCTATGTTCTATAAGATGGTTAGGTTCTCTTTTGTTAGATAATAATTGCACAATTATGTCAGAAATCCATTACCTCCATGCAGTTTAGGGCTGGAACCTGGGCATTTCTTGTCTGTTACAAATGATGCTTTTCCTCAACAACTGGGTAGCATAAATGGTCTGAGATAACAAGGTGTAGAGCTGTATGAACACAGCAGGCCAAGCAGCATCAGAGGAGCAGGAAAGCTGATGTTTCGGGTCGAGACCCTTCACCTTGTTATCTCAGATTCTCCAGCATCGGCAGTTCCTACTATCTCTCAGCATAAATTGTCTTCTTTTTATTACTTTCCTGCCTCCCTCTCAGCGAGAAAATAACCATACATTCACATGCACTTGGCTTTAGAGGTAATATATTTATAAGCCGTAATTAGCTGCCACTTCTCTGAGACAGTCCATCAACTGCACTTCAAAATGTACAGGCTGTGAATCCCTGCGATCTCCTGGGGATGTGAAAATCACTTAGCAAAGGCAAGTTCTACTTTTAAAATTTCAAAGAAAGTTTGTTTGCATTGAATAAAGGACCGCAGAGAATTCAGTAATTGAGAGTATAGGACAGATTTTGATGGGAAGTGTCAGGCATAAGGGACAACTAATTTTCTTATTAAAAATGGTTTCCAGTTTGGAAAAATGTGTTGGGCTGCCTTACAAACATGCTTGTCGACATCCAATTCTTCATTACTTGTTCCAAGCTGGAACAAGAAAATCTATCTCCAAATACCAAACACAATGGAAAAAGCCGTTTTTTAGCAACCTATTGTCCTAGTTGTGCTTAAATTAGAGCAGCAAACAGATGAAAATAGTAAAACAAGAATCTCCTTCCATGTGGTTCCCTTGAATTCCAAGTGGGTGCCAACATTACTGCCTGAAACAGGCAGGTGATTGTTCAGTTACCATGTTCAATGAATCAGGGGGGGGGGGGGGGGGGTCACAGAACAAGAAGCAGCTTTCGCTCAAATCAAAGAACAAATAATAGCGACAACACCAGTGCTAAAATATTATTATGTTAATGAAGAAGTCACCCTACAGCTTAAAGCCAATGAGAGAGAGGATTTAGAGCAACTGTCATGGCACAAGGGCTACCAGATGCTGCTGCATTCAGAGTATTCACACAAGTGCAATGATGCTAGCCCCCAGATCAAGAAAACCTGTCTGGCTGTTTAGTAATTTAACAACTCTCTATATCAGAGAGAGAAAGTGATGTGTGGAGTCTGACCTCAAGTCATTTCAAACTGCTTCAATGTGCAACAAAAAGTTTGCAAAGATTGTTTACCTCATTGACAGTTTGTCACCAGGAAGTGAAATATAAGCAAAGGAAGCAGGTGTACATCTTCACACATTGTTGAGAGCCCCACTCCCTGTGAAGGAAGTTGATGCTAGTAAATGAGTTTAAAATATTCCTGTTTCAACAAGAGGCAACACTTGTCACGCAGCAACATTGCCCAAGGAAACAATGTCACCCCAGGGAAAAGCAGATACCAGAAGAACAGGCCACAACTTGCACATATATCATAAAGACCTGAATGCTTTAAAGCAATGGCCCAAACCTTCCAGTTACTGTCTGAACCTGTTTCCAACATTGACCAGACTCAAAACTGTCCACTTACCTTCCTCCAATTTGTTTTCCAATCTTCCAATAGAGGTATTTGGCAAAACCTCCTTCAGTGCAAGAAACCTCAGAGGGAACAAGGCAGAGAACCGATGCAAAAGTTATATGCTCCTTTTTATTTTGTACACTAGCTTTCATATTCTGGTCATAGCTTAAATGTCCCAGACCATTTTGTGTTAGTGTGCATTTGTGAGTGAATGGGTGAATATGTAGGTGGGTAAATGAGTACAGCAGGTGTAGTCATTGGGTAAGGGTGTGGAGTGGGTGAGATATGTAGGTGGGGTGGCAGCTGTGTGACATGGGGATGCTGATCAACTCGGGTAATGGGATCTGGAGAATTGGTGGACAGCGAGGTCTAGTCAAGTTGGGACAGGGGAGGAGCAGGGCAGTCACAAAAGGGTGTTGTGTTGGCATCTAGTCAGGTTTTGGGAACAATCTGGGGAGATGGGAGATGTATAGTCAGGTCTGGTCAGGATTGTAGTGAGTGGGGGAAGAATTGGGTGTGGGGTGATTGGTCAGTTGTATAATTACTCGGGAGTTAGACCATAATTTTTCTATTTAACATTTTCTTGGATGGCTGTCCAGGTAGATACATTGGGACTGTTCAAAGTCTCTGACTGATACTCAGATTTGGAAACTTTTGTTGGAGGGTCCCAGGGTGCAGGGGAATTGCCCACCAGAAGTTCAAGCTTTTTGGACAATTCGCACAGAGTCAGTGCATCAGTGAGTTTGGTCATATATGCTGGTTTACACATCCAGTCTCAGGTTATCCAAAGGCCAGAAGATCTGGGCCTGTGCGCAATGCATGTGTGAGGATAGACTAAAATGGATCAAGCTAGGAAAAAATAGCTGCTTTTTTATGTCTGATTTTTTTTTTAAAAAGGGTTATATCAACTAGGTATGTGATGTGACTTGCAAAGAATGTATGCAGTTTCTTTAGTTTTTTTTTGTGGAAAGGGGGTGTTCCAATACACAAGTGCCTTTGTACATTGTAGCTGGCCAAAGTCATGTGTCCTCTGTCATGAAATTTTTAAAAAAGTCTTCATGATTGCAGCCATCTTACACACCACATGGAACAAGTATTTTGTCAATTATTCTAGTAGGATTAGCATTTATGCTGGCCCTGACTGTTCAAAAATCTTCCTCGAAACTACTAGCTTTTCTTTGATTGCTCAAGCCAATGAGGTTTGCAGTTTGTGCAAAGGAACTACTTTTCACACAGCTCTGAACATCAGTGTTTCTGCCTGGTAAATCCATATGAGTTCATGCTTGCATGACTTGCTCTTGGTATCAGTGACAAACAAATTTACCAATTTCCTTTTCCTTCATTGTACCTCTGCCTATCAATGTTTTTAGATAACACATTTCTCCAAAGTGGTTAAGAAACAAGTTTATCCATAATTTTGTTAAACATTTTTCGAAATAAGTGGTGCTGTTGACTCAACAAGGTCATCCAGCAAGTAAGAGAGAAGCTTTTTTTTTTATCCCCTCATGATTAAAGATGGGAAAACTGTCTAAGTAAGATTCTTGCTTTTAATCGTTATACAGCAATTTCTGAGATGGGGGAAGAGTTGGATGAGACATGCATTATCTTCCAGCACTTTGAATACGACTATTTACGATGATGATTAGCTCCCCTCAGGCCAGTCCTCAACTGTGAGATGATTTCTAATTGTAAATAAAAGACGGTGCTATTGTATAATTCTGGTGCAGTGAAGATGTTGTGTCAAAGTAAAACCCTGCACACTGCCTGCCTTTAAGGCATTAATTGTGACCACCAGACTTGAAATGCCAATATCCACTTGTGGCCTTGAACACTTGTAATCAAAATTTCAAGTAGAAACCTGCCCTTTAAAGAAGATGTTTGTTTGGCATGCATTAGTGAGCTCTGAGCAGTGATTTTTCTATTAGTACAGCACAGGAACAGCTTTATTAGCTTTACCATTCTGTGCACCTTTGCTGATGAATCTCGAATTTTGCCTTGAGAGATCATTCATTTAAATCGGGGAACTTTATTAAATCTGGGATTACTGCACTGCAATTTTAATATTCATTTAAGTATATGCTTATTGTGTCAATCTTGTCAAACCCATTGGAGAATTCAACTAGTTTTTGGATTCTTACATCTCAGGTTCTGCGTAAGTAAATTAATAGGAAACACTTTTGCACAGTGGCTAGTGGCACGTATTTTGTATTCTTATCAAGCTGGCAATGAACAACTTTCTGGAACAGGAAAAGGCCACAGTATTCCTTCTGTCACTACCAGCAATGGTATTTGTCATATGGCTACTTCAAATAATTCACGTATGTTCACCAGACATTTTCTGAATCTGTCTTTTTAATTGTGGTAGTTGAAGTTTCCTTTAAGGACCTAGCAGCCCCTAGTCTTAATAGTTGTCAGAGTTCAGCGTTGTGTGGAAGATGCAATTTCAACATGAGAAATATGGAAAGGATTTGACTATTCAGCCCCCAAGACTGCTCTACTATTCAGTAAGATCAGCTCTACCTTGCTGCACTATCTGCATATTTCTTCATTCCCTAAGTATCCAAACATCTATGAACCACTGTACAGAAAGTATTCTGTAACTGAGCATGCACAATTCGAAGGCGTAAGAATTTTACATTTCCCCTCAGTTTGGTCCCCTTTGACCTTAGACTGTGACCCCTAGGTATAAATTGTCTGGCTTCAGTTAGACTACCTCATTATTAAAGTCTTGGGGATATAGTCATAAAAATGTTGCACTGGCCTTGAGTGCTTGGCAACTAGGAAATTATCAGTATGTTCAGTAAATGAATCATTAACTCAATAAAAATTACACAAATGATCATAGTTATTATAAAATTAGGCCTAACCTACTCAGTGTTTCATCATAGGACATAGTGTTTCATCATAGTGTTTCATCTCAGTAATCAGTCTAGTATGCCTTTGTGGCTCTCCCTCTAATGCAATCATTCTCCCTAGTAAGGATTCAAAGACTAAACATTACTCAGGAGTGTTTTCTGAATAAGACCTTATATAATTTTTGTAAGATTTCTTTTCTCTTGCTCTCCAGTCTCTTTGCAATAAAAGATAATGTGCTGCTTGCTTGCTTGCTCGCTCTACTTGCATGTTAACTTTCTATGATTCATGTCTAAGGATCTCCAAGCCTTTCCGAATGCCAGAATTTCGCAGTTGCTCACCATTTTTTTTTCTGCTTTCTCCACCAAAGTGGATAACTTCATACTACTTCACATCATGTTCTACTGGTTAGTTTCTTGCCTACTCAGTGAAACTTCTGATATCTGTTTGCAGCTTCCTTCCAGTTTACATTCCGACCTAATTTGTCTCATCAGCAAACTCCATTATATGACACGTGATCCCCTCATCTAAACTCTTGATCTAGATTGTAAATAGCTGAGGCCTAACTAATCTGGTGGATATCAGCCATTATCTGTTGTAAGAATCTAAGCCTTCTGAGATACATTGAAAATGGCTTTGCCCATGGACCACATGCTGTGGCTCTTGTTATCTTAAAATTGAATCTCTATGTCCATGTGACTGTCCTGGGAGGGGCTTGTAGCTAAGGAAAAAGCAGCTGGTGTTGCTTCTCACGATGCTATTATTTTTGCTGTTGCTACTCCTCCTGTTCCTCATCAGAGGTCCAGGTAGAACAGCAAAAGCTGCTTCAAATCTGTACTGAAGGCAGACGGCTGAGAATTGCAACTTGAGATGAGTTCACGTCCAAGATGAGCAAAGTGGCTTCCAACAAATTGTCAAGCAGAGAATGCAAACTTTCAGAAGAAGGGCTGTGAGCTCCAACCTCATGTCAGTGTGGCAGCAGCACTTCACTGTTTTGAAGACTTCCCAGCCAGTACACAGACTACCCTCTGCGTTCTGCTCTGATTGGTCCTAGCAAATTCCACACATAACTAGAATGGTGTATTAAATCTCTAGTTTGCCGGGAATTTTGATTTCATGTCCTTTACAGGAACTCCTGGTTGCTTGCAAACCCACATGGTCTAAATCTAGAAGTGGATAGACCACGTGAGTTCCCAACTCAACAACATTGGTCGAGCCTTTAACCCCACATCTGCATCAGAACACTGTATCATCACCCGCCACGCCCCCCCCGCCCCATCCCAGCCATTCTCCTGTCCGTTAACCCCAGCAGTTAGAATTCTGCCCTTTATTTCTCTCCCTTTTATACCAACTTTGACATTGCATTCACCTACTTTAATATGCTGTTAATTTTCCCATCTTCAGTCTGATTCACTAACGAGATAACCTGTTGGATGGCTTGTATTCCTCACAACACCAGTATCATCCATGACTTTTAGAAAATTATCATACAGAATTTGAAGAATCTAAACTAGAGTTAGATTCAAGTCTGAAGCTTAAGATTGCAGAAGGTCAAAACACATTCTGTGCATTGTGAAAATACTGTATAAAGTAAACCAATGCTTCTCATATCCTTGCTAATCAACCCTTTTTCTTTCTATTGCTGTCAATCACTCTTAGACTTCTTACTCTATTTTACAAACACTGTAAATTGCTCTTAAGGACTTTAAAATTCCAAAACTTATTCCTTCTTCCAGTAACGACAAGCTGTTGAAGCTAAAACTTAGCATTAAACCTAAACTCGTAATCACTGCGGCTTGACATATTCCTTTCATTCTCGGTAGCCTACTACGGAATTGCTCTTTGCCCTTTACCTAGATTAATAAATGTCGTTGTTACACAATTGACCCAAGTGCATGTTTGGCAAAATGTGTTGTTTGCAATCAAGCATTTAAGTTTATAACTCTGTAATGTTGGATAATGGATCTTTGATTTGACTTTGAGTTTTGCTGTGGTGTCAGTCTTTACAAAAGACTAAACTGAGTCTTTGAAAGTTCTTCCTTCTCCAGTAGTCAGCTGAGTAATTTCTTCCTTCTGTCTTTTATGCAGGGCCTTTGTGCAGTATTCTGGTGAATCGCTTTGGCTGTCGTCCTGTTATGATGGTAGGAGGCCTGTTTGCATCAGGAGGTATGATACTCGCCTCACTGTGCACCAGCATCATCCAGCTCTATTTAACTGCTGGCGTTATCACTGGTAAGAAACACCAGTCTTTTTTTTTTTAAAGAAAGTATTCCTGGAAATCTGAAATAAAACAGAAAATGCTGGACACACCCAGCAAGTTGGGCAGTATCTACGGAGAGATGAAATTTTTCACTCTTCATAGCTGCTGCCTGACATGCCAAATATTTCCGGAATTTTCTGTTTAATTTCTACAATAAAACATTATGTCTCAAGTCACTACAACTCCTGATGGTTTAAGTACCTAAAATTATATGTTAAAGTGAAACTTTATGAATGATATGAAACTACCTAAACTGGAAAAAGTACACCTTTTCTTCATTACACCGAGATTTTCGAGTTACTGTGGTTCTAATCAGTTTACATTTCATTATTGCAGAGATTCACATAATCATACAGCAGACAGGAAGAATATTTGGCTCTGTACCTTTGTAAGAGCCCAATTAGTCCTAATCTCCTGCTCTTTCCGCAATAACCTAGGAATATCTTTCCAATATATACTTGAAATGAGTTCCCTTAGAAAGTTTATTGTTGAAACTGTACATTGGCTGCTTGAAATGCAGTACCAGTTGTTTTGTCTTGGTCATATTTTGAAGGTATCTTGCATGAACTTAACATCTAAAATTCTGCAGCCAGCATCCTATTTTGCACCAAGTCCCTTTCACCTGGCACCCATGCTCTTGACTTGCACGGGCTTCTGGCTTGGTAATGCCTCAATTTTAAAAGTCTCATTCTGTTTTTAACATCTCTCCATATGGCCCTCTGTTTTGCTAACCTCCATCAGCCATACAATTCTTGGAGATCTCTGTCCTTCAATTCTGTCCCCCCAAATTCTAACCCATCCACCATCAACTGTATTTTCTATAACGTGGGTGCTGGAGTTCCCTTCCCAATTATCTCTACCTCTCTTTCGTTTTGAAGCTCCTTTTTTCCAACCTTTTTGTCATCTGTCCTAATACCTTATCATGTTGTTTGATGTCAAATTGTGTTTGAGAATCCTCGCCCGAAATAGCTTGGGACCTGTGTTTTGGTTTTAATTCATTATTTCACTTAACTCTAAATAGTGCCCTAACTAGTGCTTAACCAGTGGAATTATGTTTTTGTTTTCATTGCAGGTCTTGGTCTGGCATTGAACTTTCAACCATCTCTCATCATGGTAAACCTTTATTTTGACAAGCGTCGCCCATTGGCAAATGGCTTGTCTGCAGCTGGGAGCCCCGTGTTCCTGTGTTGCCTCTCTCCATTGGGTCAGATCCTGTCTAAAGTTTATGGATGGCGAGGAGGTTTCCTCATTCTTGGGGGTCTACTGCTGAACTGCTGTGCCTGTGCAGCCCTGATGAGACCCCTGAAACCAAGCCGTAAAGAAAAGGAAATGATAGAACAAGCAAAGAAAACAGAGAAGCAGAAGAAGAAAAAGAAACTTCTGGATTTCACTGTCTTTAAGGATCGAGGCTTCCTAATATACACAGTAGCAGCTTCCATCATGGTCTTCGGTCTCTTTGTTCCTCCCGTGTTCATAGTTAACTATGCAAAAGATACAGGAGTGCCAGACACAGATGCTGCTTTCTTGTTGTCTATCTTGGGTTTTGTTGATATATTTGCTCGACCTCTTAGTGGTATCGTTGCTGGGTTGAAGGTCGTTCGGCCTCGCTGTGTGTATCTTTTCAGCTTTGCTATGATTTTCAATGGAATTACCGATCTAGGAGGCTCCTTTGCTCGTGATTATGTTGGTCTGACAGTGTTTTGCATTTTCTTTGGAATGTCCTATGGAATGGTCGGTGCGCTGCAGTTTGAGGTCTTGATGGCGATCGTTGGAACTGAGAAGTTTGCCAGTGCCATTGGACTTGTATTGCTGATTGAAGCCATGGCAGTCTTGGTTGGTCCTCCAGGAGCAGGTAAGTGTGTGTGTGTTGTGTGTGTTGTGTGTGTGTGTCTGTCTACAACTATGTTTGTGGGAAGAGACTTGCTTGAATCTTCTCTTGTAGTATAGAAGTAAAAACCCAAGAAAAACATGATATGCATATTGAATGCCATTTGTCAATTATCATTTGAGACATTTAGGTTTTCATTGTGTCAGTTCAAATGAATAATCCCAGTCAGCAGTGATGCTTCTTCAGTGCACTGACCAAAGCAATTAGCATAAAAAATAGTTGGTATTCAGAGTTACAGATGTGTAACTTCTTTTAAAGAAAAAAACTAGGAGTTCTATGACCTGTTATGGCAAAAAAAAAGTTCTGTTCCTGCAATCTGTTCTTTTTTTCTAAATTCTTACTTGCCATCACCTCTGACAATCCTAAATACAGTCCATGAGACTTAAATGGTCTCCTTTTCTGATTTCCTTTCCAAGAGGGATTTGGACGCATGATTTTTCGGTAACTGGCCAAGAGAAGTGGTGCACATTCGGGAAGTCATTTAGAACACTCATGGTCTGCCATAGTGTGTCTGTTTACTTCTTGGAGTCGCAGGCAAAATGGGCTTTTTCCAGGATAGAGTGTAGTAAGTTTTGGCCTGAATGATGTGATCTACTCACTTGATTGGATTTCAAGTAAATGTATTGAATTTCTGTTCGTTTTGTACTTGTTACAGGAAAATTGTTTGATGCCACCAAGAATTTCACGTATGTTTTCTATTTGGCTGGGTGTGAAGTAGTCCTGTCTGCCATTGTACTGGCTCTTGGAAACTTCTTTTGTTTACGTAAAAGTAAACCTGAGTCACCTGTAAAAGAACAAAAGGAAAATGTGGAAGAAGGGGAAGGACCAAAGGAACCAGAAGCAGTGGATTCCATAGAGGTGGAGCAATTCTTAAAAGATGAGACTGGAAAAAATGGTGAAATTGTACCCACACCAGAAACGAGTGTATGAAGTTTTCAGTGAAGGAAGAAACAGAATGTTTACAAAAGGTCAAGAGAAACAAGTTTGTGTATTTATTTAGAAATGTGAGGAATCTCCATGTTTAATGGTAAGAGTAGTCTATTGTGCAGAATAGTTTTGTGATTTGTGTTTTTGTTTAAATTGCTGCCTTGCATTCGTCATTCATGTGTGTCTTTCACAAAGGTTTTTTTCAATGTAAAGGTATCTGTTGAAATTGTAGAGATGCTTTAAGGACATTCTGAAAAATCAAATCTACAGATTGGAATTCCATAAAATAGGAAGGAGGTAGGTTGCACAAAGCAATTTCAGCTAACAACACAATTAATGACAACAGTACATCTGCAGTATGGCTCACAGTATTGGTCACAAACGCTGGTTTCCATAACTTATAGGAGTGGCAGATACACACTCAGTGAAGCAGCAAGTGTTAAAAATTTTCCAGAAGAGAACGTCAACACCTGCATTGGCTTTAGCTCCATGTTAATATTACTTCTGAGTTTTAAATGCAGACTTCTATTGTCTAAATTTAATAACAATTAAGAAAGTAGCCAAGTTGCTAGTATGTAGTGAACTTAAAAGGTTATGAATAAAAACAAAGACTTTTTTTTTCCAAACTTGGTAGTTGTTGATATTGGCCTGATGCCAATTGATCCAACTGTGATTCAAATAATTTCATACACAAAGCTGACACCTCGTACTGCAAAATGAAACTGACCTGTGAAGACTTTTTAATTCCAGTTATATTTTTCCTAGTGTATTAAAACAATCATTCTGTTTCTTACCAAATCATGTGTGTCTGACTAAATAATTGTTTTAAATGGATTCTTCATGGGAATTGTGGAAAAGTGGCCTTTTGTCCTAAAAAGATTCCTCCCAATAGTGACCTGTTAAATGAAGTACTCAACAGATGGAGAGCTCGAAGCAATGTTTCACTATGGACTGTGCTCTGATGCTTGAATACACTGCAGTATACTGTCGGTAAAAGCAATTCTAACTTAATTGATTACATTGTCAAGTAAATGTGAAGATCCATGCCTTTTACTAATGTTCACATACAGACATCAATTTTGTGGTATCACTGTATTCTGAGAAAGAAGACTGCTTTATTTCTACTTGAATTCACTTCAATAGTGTTCTTGATTTCTACATAACTCCTAATTAAACCTTTTCACTTTATTTACCAAGATTAGTGGTTATGTTGCAACAGTTCAACATAGCCAGGTTATCAGTGCCCAATCCTGAGGTTACTTCATCTTTAAATGTGGATTCAAGGGGACCAAACCACCTTTTACAAAAAAACCCCTTCTAATTGATTGATGAATCTTGAAAAGGATACAACCAGGTTCATTAGTCACACAATAAGGGAAATGTTTTAAATTTTTTGCACCAGCTAGCTTGTGTATTTTAAACGTATTGGCCATATGACAGACACAATTGTGTATTGCCAAGGAAGAAACAAATAGATTGAAAATACAATCTTGGTGCGATTACACATGGTCTGAGACTTACAGGTAGGTATTTGCCTCAAACTGCTCCTCAAACTCCTGATTAACCAAAAGGTCCTAGGATGAGGATCTGAAAAGGCCTGAGAATGCTTAATATTATCCCCATATGTGCTAACAAATAGATAGTTTCAGAGATAATGTATAACAGATTTCAAGACTTTAAATAATTCAGTGGGATGTAAGACTGATGGGAATGAATTGCTGGCAGTAATTCACCCTGTCTAATTATAATTTCTTTTAGCTTCAGTATATAATAATGATGTGCTACCTACCATTTTGCACTTATACTGAGGTTGAATTTCGACTCCGTTCCAACCAAGTTCTTCTAAACTACTGCATTGTCAGTAATTGTATTGTAGGCTTGACTAAATGACTGATGAGATGCATTAATGAAAGTTAAGGAAATGGATAAGAAAACACACTCACTTGCCTTTGCTTGTCTGCAACAGAACCACTATGGAAACCATTAAAGTGCATCTTTACCAGCATGGAAGAAAGCTTAAGATTTTATAGATGCAAATACTTAGGATAACAAAGGTAGATTTGATTTTGGATGATTCTTAATTGCTATCTCTAATGAACCAATGCATGAGGGTTTAGATTTGCAACTTACCCAGGGAACCTATTGAATTTGTATTTTAATTGGTTTCAGGTTCTATAATGGACACTTGATATGCAATACAGACTACTGCCTGGGCATTAAGTCAAAAACCTAGCCCTTAGTGTCTCTTACACACTTTGAGGCCTACCTGAACATTTCTGCACTGTGTTCTTTTAATATGAAGTGTCCATGCAGAAAATTTGATATATTGAAAGCTAGTTTCTTTTTAGTACCTGTTTGTTTTTGTTATCCTGTCATTCATAACCATCCCTTTTCTGCACAAACCTAGTGAAAACATTCCATTAACTGAATTCATCAATTTTACTCCCAGCATTTTCTTTTCTCTGAATTTTACTTTTTTTTTAAATTTAAAAAGTCTTCGGTACTTTTTGCCAGTGAAGTTCTATAGGATCCTATTCTACAGATTGAAAAGTGTATCCTTTTCAAGTTGGATATGTTGGTGTTTCAACTTTAGCACGGTCGCAAATCTAGTATTACTAGATTGTCCATCTTGTTGCATATGGCAGTCTGTGGTTCCCATTAAGGTTAATAAAGGACAGGTGAGCAATTCACGATACACTGCTGGTGTCTCCGACAAGCTCAGATTTTACAGTCTTGTTACATCCTGGCATTTTTAAGTATTGGCAAATCATAGGGTAGGGTCCCTGCCTCCTGAGCCAGAGGATCTGGGGTTCAAGTCTCATTTAAGGACTTGTGGCTGTGGAAGGGGTATTTGTGACATGGCCAAAAAAAATGCATGTGAACTATAGGTAATTATGGATTGCCTGCACAAATCACAGATGACAGATTTAACATAAACTGGTTCAAAAGGTCCTCTATTTATTGACCATCTTTAACTTGTTTTCTGAGTAAAACAGGAGGGTCAGTTTTTGGAGAAGTGTAGTCTCTAGTCTGTTTGGTTTATTTTGTGTGCCTGGCTAGTCATGCTGGATGACAGTGTAGATAAGTTTAAACCTGTGAGCAGTTTTCAGTTGTTAATTATTTTCTTAACATTGCAGTTCTTGTGCCAGAGGATTCCACCATCTCTGGTCTGAAAATAAAAGCTTTCTACAATGTTTGAAGGGGTTCAACCAGATGAAGGGGACAATGCCTATTTGATTCAAGTCGTGTCCCTTATAAGGACAATAGAAAGGTGGTCCGCCATGTCAGATCTGATCTGCACTTTAAGATATGGGCAGGCCACTTTATCAAACAGATTTACTTCTACCACATGTTATTTGATTAGCAGTGTGAGAGGTTAGCAGTAACCTAAGATAGGTTGGTTGATGTCAGTCAACCAGCAAGTTAGAGGCCACAATTATTCCCTTTCTCCACAAGGTATGGAAGGGAGAAAAAAGCCAGAAATAACAATTGCCAGTCACTCTCTTGTGACCATTGTAGGAAAACTATGTATATGATGTCATGCAGGTCAATAGCACAGGAAAAGGCCCTTCAGTCCATTGAAACGGCGCCAATCAAATTCAACCACCTAACTATTTTAGTCCCATTTTCTAGCACTTGGCCGATACCCCTGTATGCCTAGGCATCACAAGTATATATCTAAATACTTCCTAAAATGTTATGAAGGTTTCTGCCTGTACCACCCTTACAGGCAGAGAGTTCTAGATTCCCACCATCCTCTGGGTGGGGAAAAAAAAAATTCCTCACATTCTCTCTAATTCTTACTGCACCTTACTGTAAATTGGTGCCCCTGGTTATTGATCCATTCACCAAGGGGAAAAGTTTCTTCCTGTCTATGCTGCTCCTAATTTCAGATCTCAAACATGCCCCCCCCCCCTTCCCCATTCTTCTATACTCCAAGGAAAACAACCTCAGTTTATCCAATCTCTTAGAGATCATGGCAGAATCAGACTCTGCAAATTGCCCTAATCAGTCTGAGCCTTTAGACTCTGCCTGAGCTGTTACATGTACTGTACTGTACCAGGGAAACATAGCACTTTCAGGGTAGGAAGAAGATGTGAGAGGACTGGGGTTACAGCAATATTCTGGTATCAGTGGAGTGAATTCTTCTTCATTTCATGGAAGGTGAAGAGAAATATCTCCCACTGTAATCTCCCATAAAGCAAGTGTCAAGAGCGTTGTGTTGGACCTCCTAATCTGACGTCAATTGTGAACATGTTAAGATGAGTTATGTCTCTTTTTGTTCTCTGTTTTAAAGTTAAAATTTGTACGTCTGAAAATAGAATCCACTTTTTAACATTTTACGTAAACTAGACAATGGAAAATACGTAAATTTGCAAAGGACATGATGTCCTCCAAAGGGTTGAAGCAACACTTCAGAAAATCTCATTGAGAAAAATAGTAGTTACTAATCCATTTGAATGCTGGGAGTTTCATTACATTCAAAATATTTTTATAATGCAAGGTTTTACCATGTGTGAGTAATTGTCATTAACACAGTTTCTGGCCTTTTTAACCTCAAGGAGGTAACTAACCAAACATTTCAAATTTGGTGTCTCTGTAAACTCAGTGAATTTGTCACTCTGTGTATTAATGTCCAATCTAATTGTGTCATGTGGCAGCAATTTTTTTGCCATGTTCCAGCTAACAAATTTAAAGGAGGATCCAGTTACTTCAGAGTTTTTAATCATGTAAATGTATTTCTGATGGCTTTATTGTTAAACCTAAAGATTGACTGACTGAGCTGTTACTGCTTTGAGCCTGTGGTCTATATCTTAATTAGACCAGACATTTTTGCAATAGAAGTTTACGGTTTCAATATGGTATTTCCAAACCAGAGTCTTTAAGAAATGTCACAAAGAACAACTTCTGTAAAATGGTACAAATTGGAGTGGGCAGGTATGGTTTGGCTTCTATGCACAAAAAAAACTTCCTAAATTGCAGAATATGTTTACATGCTCTTATTCAGTAGCAAATATCCCACTTAATGATTTTACCCTTGATGATTCTGATCATGAGCACTGCACTAAATCTAAATGTGTACACCATTTTTTTTCAGGCTCAGGATGTTTTTTCAAACTAACGAAATATCAGAACTGGGACTACTCCTTATAATCAAAAAGACTTGGAACTTGTGAATTTGCTGTGTTTTGTGTGTGTGTGTGTGTGTGTGTGTGTGCACGCACGCGTGTCTGTATGCGTGTGTGTGCATATAACCAAGAAATGATGTCACTTTGTTCAGGAATTATGAATGCTTGCTTGACCACAAATAAGTATTTGGAAACTGTACTAAAAAACATTGGTACTGTTCGACTCAAAACCCACAGAAATCACAGTTTGCTTCAGATTGCAGCTTTATTCTATCTTAACGGTTTGATCTAATTGGGTTTTCACTGTTTTATCTGATTGTATGGACTTACTGTTATCTTTGCTGAAGTACTGCTATTTTTTGAAGTTTGAAGTGCTCCAAGTTCTATATTTTGTAGTTATATATACATGGTAGATTTGGATAAAAATATATATATAGAAACTTTGTCTTAGTGGTCTGTATTTTAAATTAGTCCTTCCAAGTCATTTGAACATAGTAAGAACAATATTCCAGTCTTATACTGGTCACTGCCATAAGAACCTAAACTAAAGTGAGTGTAGGTCTTCAGCCACAGTACTGGTATGCAAAGTACTCATTTAAATGCACACATTTATGTAAAGGAGCTTTCAGAAGGCAGACCAATGTATTGATCGTAGAAAAACTTTTTTTT